TTTCATATACACAAAACATCTAACAAAGAGACCTACTCTGTATGAAACAAAATATGATCAGTGTTAAAAAATGTTTACAGAAAAGACAAACAGAGGATGTGTAAAAAGTTATCCCATTTGATTGTGTTCTTTGTTAAGCTGAAAGAAATCATTCTGAAATAAATTAAACATTATAAAACAAGATGTAACTCAAATATGATTTTTAGTTGGGTCGATTATCTACATGTATCATGGCAATTTACTTTGAATTAATAACAATATGTTTAGTGATATAAATATTTAACAGAGTACAAAAATGATAAAAAATCCATTAAAACACTAATTTCATAATCAACATGATATTCACCTAAGCTCATATGGTTTTATCATATCGTAATTCATTACTTGCATCCTTTTCATTATTCCATGTCATGAAAAGTATGCATAATATTATAAAAAGGACAAGAATGCCTGTATTCTGTGTTCACTTTCTTTTTCTAAATACTTCAAGAGTTGCCCATAATTACAACATAACACATAATTAACTCTGATAATCACTTCTTTGAAAATCTTGATACAGAGGCATAAGCAAAGAGACGAGTAATTTTGCAGCAATCTGTGAAATCTTTAATGATTTACATTTCTTGTAGCGCCAAAGCCATGATTCTTATAATCAAGTATGAGTGATAGACAATTTTTTGTTTGTTTGTTTGTTTGTTTGTTTGTTAAGCAGACCCTGGACAAAACAGATTGAAATTTGCCTCATTAAAAATGTATCAATGTATTCCTGAGACAAAACTCATTTTCAGAGTTAGTCAACCATTCAGCAGTAGGCTCTTAACACAGTATTCCCTCAGCAAGTTCCTCATGAATATCACTGGGACAACGATGGTCTTTAAGAGAGCTGAGAGGCTGATAACTGTTGCCAGACTTATAATTAATAAGGTCATTTTCACTTCCTGTGCATTAACGTTGTGTACATCACTTTCCTGATTTTAGTAATGGTGATACAAACAGTTTAGACCATTTATACAATCAACTGTGCTTTCGCTGTTCTCTGTCTATAGAGATAAAAATAAGTGCAAAACTTGATATTGAAGAGAATTAAAGGAAATTGCCAAGGTTGTAAAATTCATATGTATGGATTTTTTTTCTTTACATCTTGTGCGACAGTTACACATATGAATGGAGTTAATCAGTAGTACATATGAGTAGTATGCAGACTAGTATCTGGAGTATTCACAGCAACCTCCTCCGCTAAACTGTAGATGAAGGAGGAGCATAAACAACCTTCTAAGTCAGCTTTGTTTAGAAAAAAAGAGTAACATAGAGCAGTGAAAATCATCCAGGAGATAAGAGGGCAGGCCTGGAAGCAGTGTAAACCAGCTAGAGATCATTAATAAGCAGTGCAAAGCAAGCACAAGTATAGATAAAACTGCCATGAAAATGAGCAATAGGTGTAACATGCCAGTCGTAAATAAAAACACATTTATATTGTAGACATAGACCAAGTGTAAGCAGTGACAGAAAGTCTGCATTGGATATGCCATTTAAATTGTAAGCACATGAGCATAATTGTGTGATCAAGCTTTGATGTAGGTCAGGTGTACTGATGAGATGCAGTAGCATAAACTAAACTTAGAAAAATAAGTATCCCAAGCTGGGATGTTAAGATTTGCCAAAGTGTAGAAACAAACTGATGTAGGAGGCAAGCTTGTCTTAAGTAAAGTTTGTGTAAATTTTTACTAAAGTAAGAGGTTTAAACTGTATTGCATTGCTTTCTTTCAAGAAGGAAATTTATCTTGATATGAAAACATACTAGGAAACATAATCTTAAATCACTAGGCCAAACAAACATAAGTAGTTAAACTGACATCTCAGGGACGGCTGAAGTGGGTTCATTCAAAACTATAATGTGCACAGTGAAAAGCTGAAAGAGAAGGAGACGCAGTGAAAAAAAGTCATCAAGTTGTGTTACAAAGAATATGTCCTTCAACTAAGTACTAAAAGAATACAAAAAGCCACGCAGTGATCATGAACTCAAGTGCGACCATCTTGATACATGATATGCCAAGAAAGAAATGCCAGTGGAAAAAGTCTTAGCACAACATTGTACAAGAAAATGAGTGCCATTATGCTGTGCAAAGTTAGGCTGAAACAAGAAGCAAAATTTATGTGAATTCAAGCTATGAAGGAACGTAAAAAGGCGTAGTAAACAGTAAGTGGTTTATGTTTTTAAGGTTATGATGATATTATGTCCAGTGTGTTGGACAGATAGAATCATACAAACATTAGGCTTACTGTAATGTATATCCATAATGCAGGTTTGGGTTAACATGATAACATTGTAAGACGTTTGATTCTATATTGGTTAAAGAATTAAAGCATTATGCTCTTAGTTTGGGTTCAAGCTAGCATTTGGGAAAGAGGTATAGTCAAGGACCAAGCTGAAGTCTGAAGTTTTGCTATAGTTTGGGACCAAGCTTGAATGTCTGGTTACACTGAAGATTAGGTTAAATAAAAAAAAATAAATATAAAAAAACAAGAAAAAAAATGTATGTAAGGACATGCTTTTGTAAAGTTAAGGTGAAATGTTTTGCTAAATGTTAACAACCAAATAAAGCTTGAATGATGACTGAGCAGAATGGTTGACAAATGCCAAAGATTAATCCTACCACTTTAATTTTCAGATGATGACTAGGTGTGAGGACTGTGTACTGGCCATGTTCCATGTAAGAAATTTATGAATAACATTTTATTGAACAGTGTTGAAGGGAAGTGCAAAACTAATTAGTACATGCAATACACAAATAAAGTAAATCCAGACTAACAAACTCTAAGGTTATGTTGGTGAATATTGGTGATATATTGAAATCACTTCATAGTAAGAAGCGGTTATGTCGTCTGTGATCTTGCTAAAGTCTTACCAGTGCTGATATACAAGGAAGATTATACACCTCTTTGACTATATTCATATATTCTAACATAAACAATACATAGACATTTATATACTGATGTGAGAAACAGCTTTAAAATTTGCAAATTTAAGATGCAAATGCTGAAAGTTAAGTTAGTATCCATCTGTAATGGGTTTAATGAATTATCCAAAATGCTGTAACCCAGTAAGCGCACATTTCTACACAAAGGTTTCTTCTGGTAGGAGATTTTTAAGGAAACGTCCATGTGTGTATGCAGAGTGTACATGTGTCTGCTCTAATTAAAAATTTGAGCCTTGCTTAAAAATGAAATCTTCAATATACATAAAAATCTGTACTCATATTGACAGTGGTATTCTAGCCAATAAAAAAAAATAAAAAATCTATGAAAATAGGTATTTCTGGGATGCGATATATTTTTGACATTCAAGAAATATTCATATGAAACTATCCTCTAAATCCAGTATTGCACAGCATAACAATTTCAGCCCAGAAACATGTTGAACATCTAAGAAAGGCTCAGTATAACCATTCATCCAACTTTCATAACAATAAAGGTTGTTGAACATCTATATGCAAATTATTAATCAAATCTTCCTCTGCATTATAACATTCTGTCAGTGAATTAAGTCATATATAGCAGTTGTATCTTATTGACAATCTTTCACTGTGAATATCAGTATAAAAGTGTATACATTGACCTTGTTACTCAGCATAAGGTACTTAGCAGTCACCCAATACACCTTTTATAACTAGGTACATATTGTAAAGTCAGTATAATGTTGTGTCCTGGAATGTATAGAGTAAATATCAGTCAGAAAAGGTGCAGAAACACTAGAAGTTTTTATAGAAGAAAAAATATTTCTCTCATAAGTGTAACTGTTGCATTTGTAAGAGGATAGAATATGCCTAAACAGTTCTTATAGACTGTGACAACTACAAGATGTTTTGACTCGACTTCAGCCCCGTTTTGAGAAAATACTCATAGTAATGCTGTTCAACATTGGCCTAACATGTCTAAAGAGTTATAGTCTTTTTGCTTTGGAATATTTGCATTAGTTTGAACAATTTTCATGAAACATATGCACTAAAGCTTGACATCTTTTATAAATAATGATAAAATAATGAGGAATTAAATATCTAAGTTACAGAAAAAAAATGAAAAGAATATCATAGTTATGAGAACAGCTATGAACCAGGTGCAGGGGCTTACAAACGATCAGAATTAGAGCACTTAGCCAGACCCAAAGTAGTACTGAGCATTGTAAACGCGTCGTTCATATTACATGTAGGTGAGAACCACTTATTTTAATACAGCAGTGTTTAGTCTGTTCCTGTCATTGGCACTTATCTAAAGTGTTGCACATAAGTGGTAGCTCATAAGTGGTTCACATCTAGTTTCATCACAAATCACTTCAGATCATCATAGGTTTGTAGAGTATGAGTAGTTTACACTTTTTATGACAAGTAATCTTGAATAAGTTTCCTCGGGCATTCTATAAACTGAACTCTTCTCACATCTGTGAAAGTTCTATTTTTACATGTTTAGGAAATAATTCCTTCCAGGTCTTACAGTTTACATGACCAATCATTGCATCTGCTTTGCTGGAGCCAGGAGAGGTACCAATAATGCCATCCAACTATTTTGTGTCATCACTCATCACATCATAGTCAAATGTGTTTGTATAAAGTTACTCTCATGAACTAAGAATCTTTGGGATTTGTGAACAAGGTTAACTGTATTTTATTCTGATAATTTTGTAATTCATAACAGAGGCAGAATGTGAAATACATCAGGTATTGTGAATGACAATGAGTTTAGCTTTCAAAAACTGGTTCCATTCTTATGTTCTGGTAATAAATAAATGTGAAGTATATAAAGTAAGATTACAAACTCTGGGACTTGATTTTTTTCTAATGTCAAAGGTAAAACAAAATCTGTTAAATTCACAATTCATTAGGTTTAATATGGTGTTAATTGCTTAGGTAAGACTGCTCTTGATTTCAGAAGCTCAAATGTTTTATGTTGTTTGTGGCTATGAGAATATACTGAGACAATACATATTTATGATAATAATTTAGTAT